CACCTGAGAGGCATTGTGGATATCTGTCCCGGCAATGAACTGCCGTGATGAGAAGCGACTCTGATGGTCGCTCTTCTCAGGCGATGGTACGATATTCTGCGGCCTGCTGACCAGTCGCGCAGAATCTTTCGTGCAGTTTTCCTTCTCCTTCTCTTGTTGCGATGCCACGTAGGTTCTTTGCAGAACTTCGTAATCACCAACTTGCGGAAGGCACCTAAAAAGGACAGCAATGTAGGCCACCAAAAAGATACGAACCACTGCAACCATGAAAGGACGCAGCGGCCCTGAGGCTACCGGCTAATCCTACCCCACACAGAAGGGGACACTTCCTGTGCAGGGTCAGAGCCGAACCTTGGATCACTAGATGAAATATTGAAAGATATGAGAGCAGCATCTCAAAACACGACTAGTAACAAAGACATCGCTACTAGTAGCGATCGGACGCTACGAACGTAGCTCGTAGCTCCTGGCCTTACTAGGAACAAGGACTAGACCGAAGGTAGCTCCTAGGCTTAAAAATGAGTTGAGGCCGAGGAACGGATGCAAGGCATTCACCTGGACCGAGCCAAAAGAAGCCAAAGATCTCAGCATGCTTTCCGCGTCGTGGCTGGGCAAACCGACCTGGCTTGGCCGCTGGTGGCCTGGTGATGGTGCGGTCCTGTGGATGTTCTACACCGCAACGCAGCAACTAGTAGCTTCTTGCTCCGTTCGTAGTACGGCCAGGAGCCCCTAGTAGCGTCCTGGCTCCTAGTAGCGATGCGAGTAGCTTCTTGTTACTAGTGGCAAATGTCATCCTGCACTGAGTTGCGCAAGATGAAGCCTTTAGAAGTTTGCGGTAACACCAACCAAGTGTGGCAGCCGTCTTCGTCGTTCGCACGTGCACTTCGGTCACCGATGATACTGGTTAGCAGCATGTGCATATAGGGCGGTTATATCGAGCGGAGGTGCGGACCAATCCCCAAATCATCGCTACGAACGGAACAAGAACGCTACGTTCAGGGCTCCTGGCCATACTACGAACGGAGCGATCGGACGCGAACCGAACGGAGGAAAGGGCATCGCGGCATCGCTCATTGAAAGAGACCAGGGACAATGGGACGTCAGACCGGACAACCGGACACATTGCTGCTTTCCCAGCTTTCTCAATCACGTTCTCCGTCGCGTCCAACCGGACGACACGTGACGTCAGACGGCGCTGCACGGCTTCTCTCCAAGTTGCACGGCTTCTCTCGAAGCCCGGCAAGGGAGCTGCCACCAAGTTCTGCCACTCCTGGTCCAGGGGCGATCGACTTGAGAGAGTGAAGTAGTTAAAACTTTTAGGAGAGAAACTGGTTGTTCCTGGTTTTGGGGCTCTGCCCTGCCTCCCTACTTAATTGAGGAGTTCGCTCCTAGCTACTGGGACTCTCCTTTTTGGGGATGCAGACAAGCTCCCGGCAGGGGGGGGGGTGCGCGGTTTCACACCGTCGGTGTCTGGGCACCGGGTCCGTGACACCGTTCATCGGTGTCTGAGCCCCGGAACTCGTAGCGTCCTTGATGCTGTAACAAGAAGCTATTAGTAACAAGGTGCCACGCTAGTAGTCACAAGGTGCCTTACTAGTAGTAACAAGAAGCTATTAGACTTAAAGTTAAATTAATAGCTTCTTGTTACTACTAGTAAGGCACCTGTTACTACTAGCGTGGCACTTGTTACTACTAGAAACCTGTTCGAGAAGGCTTATAGGAGTGTAAAGCTTCCCCCTCTGGCCCCTGGGAACCCTTCTTCAGTACGAGCGCTTCTTCAAGGAAGCACCGTGAGTCACCATACGGTGCTTCGCCCCAACAAAATTCCAGCCCGGCATGAGCTGGGAACACATCAGCCCGTTTTTCCTGAGGGCCTGTCAATAACATCTGCCTTGTAGAACCCAGTGGTCTTGCTTTTGTTTTATGATGTTTTTTGCAATATTAGGACCTACCGTAGCAGGAATCTTGAAACGCGGCACATGCATCCTGCCTGGAACTTTTGCGAGCCAATAGGATCTCGAAACAAGTGGCTTTTCGCCATAAGAACCTCCACGTCTGTGCCATGCCTCAGCAATGATTGTCCTGCTTCGACATTACGCTCATCAAGGTACTCAAGAAACTTTGACATTACGCTCATCGATATTTGCCTGTTTCGTGGCATTTGTGCAGTATTGACTACGCTACTCTATGACGTGTTACCACGTTTGCCTTGTTTGCTTTGAAGTGGTCCCACCCCACACCCCTGCGCTCTCGCTAGTTAAGTATACGGTACATGTATGTGCGTGGTAGAAGAGCACAGCTGAGCGACACCAGCATGCGTGGACCTCTATTCTATCTCACCTGGCGTTAAACTACAAGGTGTCTGTAACTTGGCACATCATGCCCTCAGTCTGAATGGAACCCCTTCGTGGTGGACTTGCGCACGCACACAAGTTCTTTCTTCGCTCAAGGCAGTGTGGCAGACGTTAAGCACCATGCCCCACACAGTTGGATGTTGTTTGCGCTCGCTAGCTCACTCACCCAACGCATCCGATGGCCAAGAGTATACTGAGAGTACACCGAGCACGGAAACTAGCACACGTCAAGCAGTCCTAGTTGCATGCATGTGCATGCTACCTGGTGCAGGCTGGCTCATTTGCATGGGCTACAGTAGTGCGCAGGTCCAGTGTCTAGTGGGCTTAATGGAGCCCGCATGCCGCATGGGGTGGACTACTTCACGAAGGCATCTGATGGGCAACGCTGAGATCACTAGAATGGGCCTTGGAAATGTTTGGGCGTTCAGAGGCATGGGCGGAATCAATTCTCTAAAAATCGATCGACCCCAGGTCGAGTGTGGGAAAGGACTGAATGACTGTCCACACAAACTCAGCACACATGGAGTCATGGCGTTGCAGCCAAAGCACTTATTCACCTTGGTGCCCAGAGTTCAGAGGGAAAAAAGAACACGAGGGGGTTATTCTGAAGTTTGTAGATTCGATCGGATGCGCATTTGCACTGGAAGCGTTCAGAAGCTTCCCCTCCAGGGGCCTTCTCCATGAAATCGATGACGCACCAAACATCCACCAGCGCGGCGGAGCATCTCTCCTTTTCGGCCAGCAGGGCTGATAGAGGCTGCCGACCTCAGAGCGGCTCGCGCTCAGCGGCTCGGTGGCCAAACGTCGCGTCCGATCGCTCCGTTCGGCCCTGTGCTCCCGTTGGTTTCGTCCGATCGCTCCGTTCGTAGTAAGGCCAGGAGCCCCGAACGTAGCGTCCTTGTTACTACTAGTAAGGCACTTGTTACTAGAAGCGATGCACTTGTTCCTAGTAGCTTCTTGCTCCTAGTAGTAAGGCCAGGAGCCCCGTTCCTAATAGCGATGGCCTCCAACCTAGTTGCACATGGTGAACCGCTGCTTCTCAAGTGACATCGTCGTATTTTCCTGGACTTGATTTGGCCAAGAGGTGTCCCAAGTCCTAGTCAAGGTGTCCACCAATGACCAAGACTAGTCTGACTACTATTTTTCTACTTTTTTAGACCTTTTGGACCTTTTCTAACCTAATTGCGCTGGCCTCCAACCTAAGAGCCCCTCCGTCCAAGTCTTTCTGCCAGAGATGCCATTCTCTTGCACATGCTGCAGCAGCTCTGCGCACCGCAGCTCCGCTGCGCGGTTCAGCTCGTCAAAGGCTGCAGAGATGTTGGACCGGGCCTCGCGACAGGCAGACGGGGCCAATGACAGGACCGAAACTTTGGGTCTACGGTCTATCCGATGTTAGCTAGATTACTTACTGGCAATGGTTTATCCAACCTACTAGCGATGGCCTCCAACCTATGATGATAGTTAGTAAAGGCCTTTCTCTAAAATCGTGATATATAGTAATAAGTTGTTTGCTGACCATTAGAGGTACAGTAAGATGATGTGACTATCTCTACTTTATATTACCTTGAAGAACGCGAAATGATGTGACACGCACAACATCGACCTGATTCGACCTGCAAATTATGCAGAGGCAACATGGCCTGCATGCAGGCCATCTCTGAGGACTCGACACCTGGAAAAGAAGCGTGGCAGCAATAAAACCATCGCATGTTTGCTGCTTGCTGTATCGTGCATGAAGCAGTTCTCGGGTGTCTAAATTCTGGCCGAGCATCTTTGGCTCAAAAGCTTTTGTAAGGCTTGGTCATCCAAAAGCTTGTGGCAAAGGGATTCAATGATGTCTTTGACACGCTGGCGGTGCTTCCTTGGCAGCACACTCCGAATAAGTTCGCAACGATCTTGGCGTATCTTCACAATGCTGTTGATGTTGGGGTCAAGGCTCCCACAAGGGCATCTCTTCCGTGGCAAAGTCAATTCGGCAACTGATGCGGTACTTCTACGTGCTGCGTACTTGCCGCCAGAATTTTAGAATTTGGGTGTAGGGTTAGCAGCGTAAGTTTCACCCTAACATGATGTATATAAAACACAACGCACTGTTACAGCATTTCCTGATGCATGCTTGTTTGCCAGCAGGCTGCGTGCTGCGCCAGCTAGCTACAGTAGCTTGCTCTATGGCTTTGCTTGCTGGCTGGTTTGCTCGCGTGCTGTGTCTGTTTGGCTCGCAACGGGGCATCTAGCGGTGCAGCAAAAAGCACCACAGCTCCTGTTTCTGTCGAGGAGCTCTATCAAAGAAGCAGATGGTAGTCTGTACCTTGTTTCATGAAGCGGAGGCAGCAAGCCCTTGATCATGCACTGCTGTGGAGGACGTGATTGCTTGAGGCCAGCACGAGCATTGCTGATGGTCATGTCCTCAGCAGCAACTGAGATGGAAAAGAAAAAAAGTGGATGGGTGCAGAACTACTGCTGCCAAAGGAACTTGCACATTCATTGCAAATCAACCTTTCACAATCTTCGCCTGACCAAAGGTGACAAAAAAATGGTTTGAGGACCATGCCTACCCCATGTGAGCTGCTGGTTGTTGTCCCTGCAATGTTGGTCTCACAAACACAACTAGAAGGTAGGTCTCAGATATTAGGCCTTTCATTTTGTCCTTCTATGTTCTCTTTAGTAATTGGAAACAACAAGCTACTAGGAACAAGTGCATCGCTTCTAGTAACAAGTGCCTTACTAGTAGTAACAAGGACGCTACTATGTTCTCTTTAGACCTCTTTAGACCTTTGGACCTGTCTTGGTCATTTTCTCAGCTCAAGGGCCGTCGGTCTCAGATGCAGTTTGCTAAAAGGCTCGGCTTCTATAGGACCTTTTGAACACTGTCTCGAAGAAGATTCCTTTCCTCATCCGAACCCCTTTTTCTGTTCATGCTCTCCCATCGAGCATGTCTCTCTTCCAATCGAGCATGTCCGGCGCACAGTAGAGCTCGTAGCGGCTGGTGCGGTGGATCGCGCAATACTGCGCACGGTGGATGTTGCGGACCTGGCGCCCCAATCGGTGCCCCGGTGCCAGACGGCAGTGCTTGGCTTGGCTTAGGGCCATCGCTAGTAAGGCTGGAGGCCGGGCCATTGCTATTGGGAGCGATCGGACGCTACGAACGGGGCTCCTGGCCATACTACTAGGAGCAAGGACGCTGGTAGGCTGGAGGCCATTGAGGGGTCAACAGTTTTCCACATTCTTCGTGGCATCACTCCAGGCACTGCGACTGCCTCGGCCCCTTGTGGACCTTGGCCAACTAGGGTCACCAGCACGTGGTTCGTGGTTGCTCGTCGGCGTCTGTGCCTGACTTGCCAAACTGGAGGAGCACATTCAACTGCAAACAGACAGAGAAAAGAAAGACAATTTTATGTTTAGGTTGGAGGCCATCGCTCTTGGCTTGGGTCCAAGTGTCTGCTTAGTACAGCTCTCACATAAATTCATGATGCATTCCTCGCAATATGTTTCGGCTCCTGGGCCAGTACCCACGAGGTGGGCGTAAAGAAAAAGAGTTGAAACTGATGCGTCGCTAGTTGTCAATCGCGAATGGAAAAAGTCAAAAGGCATAAGTTGCTCGGCTCAAGCCATCTGTATGCACCCCCATCTTCCAACAGAAAAACAGGTACGAGTAGCTTTGACTCCATGCAGCTGGTTCGTCTCAGATCTATAGATTTAGATGATCTTTGGGCCTCACTCTACGATGCAAACTCCCACGGACACTGATCACACCAAGTTCATTCAAGTATCGGTAGCCGGAGGTGCATTCTTCGCAAAGGAAATCACTCTGGGCCACCTTTTGACCATCGATGTCATGCAGCATATCAAAGTTTGGAAGATATTGATGCAGAGCTTGCCTCGGGGAAGCTTTGCCACTCACTCTCCGAAAAAAACAAGTCGCCAGCCCGGTGACTACAAAAATAGTTTAGGTCACACACGGTGACATGGTTCATAGGGTTTGAAAGGCCGAGGAAAAACCTTGCGTCTTCAGAAAGCTGATGCGCATCTTTTGCGTTCGTCGGCCACATCTGGGGCAGTCAAAGGCATCCCCATCGCTGCTGGCCAGCAAGCTCTGAAGACAGGCAGCACAAACGCTGTGGAAGCATGGCCTCGGTGCAAAAAGCTCACAGGAAGGGCTAGTGACGTCACAGATCTCATGCAAAAAATACCACATGCAAGCCATATCTAAGAGTGATGGCCTCCTACCTAAGAGCGATGGCCTCCAACCTACCATAAATGGTATATAGTACACGCTGCTGTGTACTCGTTTTATGCAGATAAGCCGAAGTAGGGTGTGGAAACGAAAGGTCATGGGAAGTCCCATGAGTTAAGCGGGTCTGGTCGACTTGGTCGAGACGAAACGCGTCTCCGTCACGCCGAGAAACAGGACTTTGACCTCATGACGGCCTTCATACAATGCAGTCTCATGCAAGTCGCGCATGCACATCACACAGCCCACCTCGATCTCACAACGGCAGAACTGGGGACAACATGTGAGGATAAAAAACATGTTGAAAGTAGATCAACAAGAGTCCTTGCCCCTAGTAGCGGTGCCAGGAGCCCCTAGTAGCTTCTTGTTCCTAGTAGTCAGGCCAGGAGCCCCTAGTAGCGTCCTTGCTCCTAGTACCGATGCCAGGAG